AATAAGACACATTTAATCACGAGAATAAAAATTGGTTTATGGTATAGTGCAATACATTTGTTAATTTTTGCCTCTTTTAGAAGATGTTATTAGAGTTCAATATAGAATCCACCATCGCATCTCGTCCCATATATACTATAAAAAGCGATTATAGTAAATATATAAAAAAAGCATAAGGTCATGTAACCGTCTCGTATAAGATACGAGTGTAGTAATTTGATATAAAAAATAACGCAGATCTATCAGAATAACAACAATCGTGAGTCTAAACACTATATATATTAATTATTTCAAATCTGTCTAACGTGTTAGAAAAGTTGGTTGAAAAAAGAAGCTCATGCAATATCTTGAGGTTAATAGTCTTGTCAGTGAAAATCTATTTGGATTTAGAGAAGATAAATGAACCGAAAACGCAGTTCTGACGTTTACTAGAAAAATCCCTACATACCTTGTTGATGGTATAAAACAAGTTAAGGGGTGTCTTTTTGGATCTCCAGAAGGCTTTCGATACCGTTTTGAACTTTATCTTATTTACTAAATTAGAGAAATCGGAATCCTAAACCATCCCATACAATTTTACAAATTTTAAACTTCAACTCAACAAAAAAAGGAATCACTTCCTATTTGTGTGAGTACACTGATATCCTCTCTTCCTTTTATATATACAATATGTAACAAAAATACTGTGGTTCCCATTAAGTGCGTTATCAGAATCAGTATTCAAACGTATATAAATAACTTTACTTCAGAAAACTCGATATAAAAATAAATAAATAGAAGAAGACGGTCCAAAATTGTATGAATCGTAGGCCTAGTTTTGTACTAGTAGGGAAATAATTAAAATAAAATATTAAACCACTTTTGATTATTCAAATTCACGAATTCGACTTTATTTCAGTGTTATTAATATTTTATTCTCACCAAAAATACAACACTAATGGCAGATAGATGTCGTTTTGACGTCAGCTGTCAACTGTTTGAGGTTACTGATCCATTTATTGATGGCCATTTGAATTTTAAAATGCTGTGTTATTTTTATCACTAAACCGTTACCAAATCGCCAAAGAAATCCACAAGAAACACAATAAACGTATTTACGAGTTCACAATTACACAAACAAGCTCAAAATAAATAAAAATTTCACGCTGCCTACATTATATTTCATGACTCAAGTCACTTGTCAGAAATGATACTTGACAAATAACCGCGTCTTTTTTATGACTGGAAGGGCGCCATCTTGTGAAATCAACAAAATCTTGGGATTGCATTTTTATTTTCAGTAAGTTATTTAGTTTGGTTTGTTTTTTACTTAATTTTTAATAAAATCCTGGGCCTGAAATGGACCGTCTCCTTGTAATTAAATAATATTTGTAAATTTTATGTAAATTGATTACCTCTACCTGGAACTACAAGAGCGAAAAAACAAACAGCGGCGGCCGGCCGGCGGTGCCATACATCAAAGATAGGGTGCGCGCGCATCATACCTACATATAGTATCATTGGGTACTACTACTAAAAATAGTATCATTGGGTATTTACAAGACTGCACGATATCATTGATGTATATTATGAAGAGCAAAGGATCCAAAACGCTTCCCTGCGGAAGGCCACGCTTAATCGTTCTATTAATACACGTATATATTTTTTCTTGCCTTGTAGAGATACAGATCTGACTGATTACGGTTTTTTGTGTCCTATCTGTTAAACAGGATTTTATTAAATTGAGTGCATTACCTCTTACACCATAACGGCTTAGTTTTAGTCAAATGATTTCGTTGTGTTTTGTTTCATATAAATTGCACATGATGGGATCCTTTTATCTAGACAAATCACTGCTCTTTTTACTAAGTCGTATATTGCTGTTACGATTGTAGTATTTGTGCGAAATCCTTTTTGCTCTTTGTTTAAAATGTTAAGTTTTTCCAAAAATTCGTAAAACTGACCATGAATATTTTTTCAAATATATTTAAGAAAATTAATAGCAGTGCAATTGGACGATAATTATTGGCAATATGTTTATGACTTTTTGGATATATACCGATAGTAAAGCTTAAATTAATAATATGACTTAAAGGTAGGTCGGTATTGTAGAGTTAACATTTTTTATTACTCTTGTACAAACTACGAGACTATTTATAATTTTACACACTGAGTCAGGTGTTGTCGGGCTTAAAAATAAAGATTTATAATTATTATTGAACTGAGATAAATGACTTAAATTTACATTATTATTACAATTATTATGTGTGGGGTATCTATATAGTTTTCTCATCTGGTTGGGATGTATAAATATATAATTATAAACGAAAATGAAAAGATAAACATACAAAAATATCAATAAAATAAAATAAATATGAAAATACATAAATAAATAAAAGCCCAATCAGATGGAAGCCCTCGGCAGGGGAGACCAAACGGCCGAGGGTTAGGGGGAAAGGGAAAGAAACCGGCGGACGATGCGGGCGGTATCGAGGAGCACCGCCTTCTGCATTTGAGCCTGGAGCGGTCCGCCACGTAGTCCCAGCCGCTTCAGATGACCCGAGAGGCTGACTGGGATTAGCCCGTTTGCAGAGACGACTACAGGAATAATTTCGGTCGGCAGACCACCCCACATGTCGGTCACCTCGTGAGCCAGGTCCAGATATTTTGTTTGCTTATCTGTTTCGGCTTTCACGAGGTTCTCGTCACACGGAATGGTAATGTCGACCAAAAAATATCCTTGACTGTGCCCGGTCCATCAGCACAATATCAGGTTTATTCGCAAGAATAGTCCTGTCTGTGATGATGGCCCGGTCCCAATAGAGCCTGGCGCGATCATTTTCGAGCACGGCTTCCGGCAAGTACTTGTAATACGGCAACTTCCGATCCACGAAACCGTATTTCAGAGCGAGCTCCTGGTGTAGAATTCTGGCTACTAGGTTGTGCCTGTGCAAGTACTCAGAGTTAGAAAGCGCCGAACAACCGGAGATGACATGCCTAAGTGACTCACCGGGATGGCGACAAGCTCGACAGATGTCGATGGTGCCATCCTTTAGGATGTATCTCCGATAGTTGTTGGTCTTAATAACCTGATCCTGTATTGCACAGACAAAACCCTCGGTTTCCCCCGAAGAGGTCACCAAAGCGTAGCCAGTGGAGAGAGGTTACTGTGTCTACGAAAGGCCCATGTAGAGACTTGTAGAACCTCCCGTGGAGCTCCTTCTCCTTCCATACGGTCTCCCGGTCGGAAATTGTCTGCACTGCCGGGTCTTGCCATTGCTCGTTGGCTAAGGATAGAGGGGTAAGTCCTTTATCACAAGAAATGACGTCCTTATAGAATGGATCATCCGATCTCGCCAGGAAGTAATTACGGAGGCTGCACACTTCGCGATTATGCATGGTGAGCGCGCTCAAGAAGCCACGCCCACCATGCTTTCGCGGCAAGTACAGCCTCATTACCGACGATCTCGGATGATGCATCCTGTGGGACGTCATGGTAGTGCGGACTTTTCTATCCAGGGCGTTAAGTTCAGTCTGAGTCCACCTGAGTATGCCAAAGGTATACATGAGTACAGGTATGACCCAGCCGTTATATGCTTTTGTCTTATTCACACCGGACAAAAAGGCTGTTAAGCACTTTGGTCAAGCGTGCATAAAACACGTCGCAAACTGACTGTTTCATACCAGCCTCATCGATACCAATGTTCTGTGACATACCCAGGTATCGGTATGTTTCAGCCTCGGAAAGGGTCCTTAAGTTGACGGGCATAGATAAGTCTATGCCCTCAGAGTTAGCAACCCTACCCCTCTCAACATGGAGGACCGCACACTTATCCGTCCCCAGCTCCATTCCAATGGAATTGCTAAATTCACAAGTGATGTTTAGCAGTTCCATAAGATGGGAGCGACTGGAGGCGAATAACTTGAGGTCATCCATATAGAAAAGGTGGGTCACTTTTGTCCCTCCTTTCCGTAGCTGAAATCCCCTCCCGGAGCCCTCCAGTAAGGTACTGAGAGGGTTCAGAGAGAGGCAGAACCATATTGGACTCAGACAATCGCCCTGGAAGATACCCCTTCTTATCCTTATGTGGTTCTCCGCAGCCATCATCCGCTCGCCCAAATGACAAAGAATCGTACTCCACTGCCCCATACACTGCTCGAAGAAGTCTCTAACTGTACAGTCTATCTTGTACAGTTCGAGGACTCTCTTTAGCCATGTATGGGGCACCGAGTCGAATGCCTTTCTGTAGTCTATCCAGGCGGCGGAGAAGTTCCGACGGTTGCGTTTCACCACTTTGCCAACGACCGCGTCAATGAGGAGTGGTTCCTTGGTTCCACGACCGCCGCCCCGACATCCATTTTGAGCGCGCGACATCACCTGATTTGAGTCCAGGTGACGAGTGATTCTCGCGCTCAAAATGGATGTTAGTGTCTTATATATGGTCGGTAGACATGTGATGGGGCGGTATTTGCTCGGGTCTGTGGTACTCTGGCCTTTAGGAACCAAATGGGTGATCCCAGTAGTGAAGAGGCTCGGGAGCGACTTCTGGTTGAGAACCTCTTGAAATTGTCGGGCGAGCACAGTGTGACACACCACGAACCCCTTCAGCCAGTAGTGATGCAGCCCGTCGAGTACCGAACTTTTCCAGTTCGGGGCCCTACGGACCGCCTCAGCTACGTCATCCGGCGTTATGGTGACGGGGTCCATGGGCGTAATACCCGCACACTGACTCGCCACAACTTCCGTCCAAGGGCCCTCGTTGTGGTTTACGGGCTCTGACCACAGGCTGCGCCAGAATGCGACCGTGTCGGCCTGATTCGGTACTGGGCCCGTTCCACTTACCAATGATCGCTCCAATGATTTATAGAGCCTCTTCTGATCACTCTGGAAGAGACGATTCTGGTTGAACCGTGTCGACCTCTCGGTATATCGCCGAATTCGCTTTCCCCAAGCAGCGATTCTCTGCTTCAGGTCGTCTATGCGCTCTGTCAATTTTTGCATTATATCCGGCTGGGACAAACTAACATTTGTCCCAGCAAACGCCATCCTGACGGTGCGCACAATCCTTTGGCCTGGTATTGCCTGACCTGAAGCATATCAGTCTGCCGATGAGGGCCCTAGCCTTTGCGATACGTTCTTCAATTCTTGTTCTCCAGGCTGGGATAGCACTACTTTGTCCAGTAGTGCGTCCAGCCGTGGAAAGTTTGGCGCCTATAATACGGCAGACTGCCAGTGCGGCGCCAAAGAGAATTGAGTCCGTCTCGCAAAGGTCCCGGCTGGCTTCCAAATAGGTCACCAGCATTGGGTTCAGAGCCCTCACGACAGCCCGATTCCGCTTGCTTAGGGCTATGCGGGGAAGTCGCGGTCGATTTTCGAGAGGCGTACTGCGCGTTTCCATAATCGCCTCTTCCAATGTACTCCTCATTTGCTCTATTTCTAGTTCCTGGGTGAATGTTCCATCATCATTTGAATCAGCAACCACTGGGGTATTCTCGGCGGTATCCACGTGTGCGGGTTGTTCTGCAACTTGTGGCACCGCACCCTCAGTCGTAGCGTTTTCATTTGATGAGGGAACAGCCTCACGTCGTAGCCGTTCGATTTCGGCGCCATCAAATATATTTGAGCGTAAGATATACCGAACTCGGTCTGCCAGGTTTTGCTCGGTGACAGTAATAGATGGCTCCAGCTCAGTAAAAAGACGATGCACCCTAGGCCGATTTGCGAAACCTCCAATTTCTCCCCCTTTCGCCCTAAAATACGCCCGCAATGCGTTTGAATTCATATTGATGGTCCATCGCATGCGGCGTACTCCACCAGTGGCGGGTGCCGATTGCTAGGCCTGCGAAGACCCTGCCGACACCAAGCAAGCTGGTGGGGATGATGGATGCGAGGGGCTGCTGGGTGGTCGTGCAGCACCTCGCGCTCGGCTGGCGGTTCGCATGCTGTCGCGTCCAGCGCCAGCTCCAGACGCGCCCTGACGACCTCCAGGCAGCGGCCCTTTGCGCAATCTTCTATGTTCCATCATCCATACAGGGCGTCATTTAACGGGAGACGCCCAGACCCGGCGCCGTTTCATGGTTACAATTATTATTAGAATTGTTATTATTATTATTATTATTTGAAGAAATTTCAGTGTTAATAGTGCAATTTTCAGTTTCCTTGTCATCAATAAAGAAATCATTAAACGCATCAGTGATGTCAATAAGGTTAGTAAGATATTCATTACCTACTCTTAGCTTCTGTATTGGTTCTGTATTTTGTGAATATTGTGTGGTTTTTTATTATTTTCTTTCATTTTGATGAATATTCTTTTAATAGTGATAGAGCATCTTTGCTTTTATTTCTCTTAAAATGCCAAAGTAAATCCTGTTTATTACAACATGCCTAAAGTTCCTCTGATATCCATTTTTGCTTGGAATTTAAATTATTTTCTATAGTTTTATAGGGGAAACATAGATCATAAAAGCATTTGAATATGTCAAAAAACCATCATAAGATGTATTGAGCCGAAGAACAAACTTAAACTATCAATACATGTTTTAAATGTTTGAAGGTTTTCATAGCTAAAATCTCTCATTTTAATACTCCAAGAATTGATTATACATGTCTTTTTACATAACATTTTAAAATTTGCGCCATATGATCCGAAAGGCCTACCTCAGTGACTTCACAGTTGGATCCTCTTATATTATGTTCAAAATTGTTAATACACGTTCCACTTGCAACTCTTGTCGGCTTTTTTATTCCTAGCTTCAGATTATAGCTTAACATTAGATTTTTAAATTCTCGACTAACAGAAGTATTTTTCACAATATCAATGCTAAAATCGCCACAAATAAAAATATTTTATTTTTAGTACTTATTTATTATTGTATTTAGAATGCCTCTAAGAGTGTTATAGGACGTATCCAGATAAGATTTATTTGTATTAGGAACTCTATAAATACATATCACAATCGTGTTATGGTCACATATTTCTATTTTTATTTTATTTTGTTTTATTTGGAAAACCAACAGCTATCATAATTAGGATAGATAGTATTAATAACAACAGTAAGCCAATTAGAGATCCTCACTAATAGATACAAAAGTGAATTTAAAACAGTGATAAATACGATTTAACACTCGAAAGTATCCAATACAACATATTTATGCCAAATGAGAGCTAAACTTGTATTATACATATAAAAGACAATCAACTCATACTTAGGACAGTCAATAACACTACAAGCTATTTTTAACAGAAAAATAAACACAAATACAAAAGTAAATCATAGTTGTGTAGCAACGCATCAATATCTTACTTAGAGCTACCAAAAAATGCATTGTTAAGTATGCGCCTAGCTAACGCAGCACTAGTGTTAAACAAATCGAAGTCAAACTCATTGGCTAGCTTATTGAAATTATTGCTCGCTCGCCATATAAATGTATTTTGCCTATAATTTGTAGATGAAAACGGGAGACTTAAAATTTTGTTGTATCTAAGAGGTTTGGCAGGACAGCTAACATGTAGTTGAGATAAAAGCTCAGGACAGTCAATAGCACTACAAGCTATTTTAACAGAAAAGTAAGGTCAGCAATCTCACGACGCATAGCAAGAGGAAAAAGGTGATGTTTTTTACAATAACTAATATAATTGTATGATTCTACAGCACAGGCACAGAGACCTGTGCTGTAGAATCATACAATCACTCGCGAGAATTTCTTAATATTATCAATTACTCTATACTTTAATCAATTTCTTACTAAAATACGTGATCCACCACGTCTTTTGTTTCTTCAAAAACTGGTTACTAATGTGAAATTAGGAATTGTAAGGAATTCTTCCAATTCTGGTATCATATTGTGCTTGGGCACACATAGAATATCGATAGCTTTTTTGTCCGTCTAACTCATCCAGATTTAATACTAATTCATTACATTTGCTCAATAGTCCCGATATGTTTTTATCTAATATATGTAAGTGATTATAGAAGAAAAAACTTATTTTCATCAGGGACAATAGAGTTCTCTTTTCTTGTGTCGATTTGCTTCTCATCACTCGATTTTTGTAGAGATAATATTTATCTGGCAATATTTCGCATTAAATTTTGTACTCCATTTTGTTATATTTTACCAGTTAACTGTGAAAACATATCATATATTAAGTCCAGGTTTGAATCAATGTAATAGCCATATTAATAAGTGTTTATGTCCTGTTTAAGTAAGTAATTGAAAGTCTCTACTCTGTAGTTATGTAATGGCTTTCCACATATATATTTTGGTGAAACTACGATTACGTTTGTATTTTTTTACTTGTTTCCAGCCTGGTTTTGATTGTTATTACCAAACCTTTATAGTCTTCTGATGTACTAAAATCGGATTTTCCGATTATCGCAACACAGTAGTCATGTTTTGTATATTCCTTTAATTTTTTATGTATATTTTTTAAAATTATCTCTATCCCAGCATTTGTAGTGATAAAGTGACATAACTCATACTGACTTAGAACATGATTTATCTTTACATTTTGAAGTATTTTATATCTTTTGTCACTTGTTAGAATACACAATTTGTTTTAATGGTTTATGTAATGATCTAATATCTTTATGTACATGATTTTTGGTGCTATTATTAATTTCTAAATCAGTTTTGGTGTTGTTTTGTCTTTCAATTACTTTTCTAAACTTTCACCCTTTGTGCATAGATTCCTTACTTTTTCTTGAGCTTATTTCAGGTTTTGTTGTAATTTTTGTGATTGTATTTTCCAAAACAAAAATTTGCTCTGTCTTTTTGTTATCTGGAGTCATATTATTAATAAAATCTTTTTTTTTACAATTTGTGGGGTTTTACATATTGTAGTGTGTGTGTAGTGTATGCTCATGTAGCTATAACATAAAAAAAAATATAATATATATATATATATATATATATACATATATATATATTGTAGCCTAATAAACATTCAGGCAGTAATAAACCTACATACAAGACCAGTAGACGCATTATTTATTCCCCGAACTTCCCGACATTACATGGCGACCCTGCCAGTCGGTGCGCGCGCGAATCCGCTCACCGCGTGCACCGGCTGGTCACCGATAGTAAAATTATAATATATTTATTAAGGAATTGTTAATTAAAAATTATGACACATTCCCGGATTAAGGAAATTAATTGAAGTGGTGTAGAGCCAGCCATCAAAAAGTTATATCATTTTCAATAAATATTTATAAAATAAAATTAAAACATTATAAGTATAAAATCAAAAGGCAAAGAGGCATCAAAAAGGATAAAAGAAGATGAAAGAAATAACTTTTTCACTCCGGATAAGAAGAATATTGGTTAAGAAGATCGAAATTGAAATACGCAATGGTGTTCACATAGGAAATTTTACATTATCAAGATATATACACAATTTCCGAAAACTCGTAACAACCAAGCAAAACAAAAAGGAGATATTTATCAAAACATAAAATTATCAAGAATTTAATCGAGTGGCCAGTTTTTAGGAGGGCTGAATTTTTTGTGTATTCCATCTACAAGGAAACGAGAAGTATGTTATATTCAAGAAACATAAAAAAAAATTAATAGAGACTATAATGTGAAAAATATGCTTGATGTATCTGCAAAACAATTACTGTATAAAATGCAAATAATATTATTATTTTTAAGGTAAGTGATTTTAAATATGTGTCTCTTCTAAAATTCTAATTTCATAAAATTAAATATATAATAACTTTAGTCACCAATCATATTTAGAAATGTTATTTACCAATTTTGTTTATCTATTTTGTTCTAAAATATTTAACATAATGAATGAGAAAAAAAATAGGAACTTCTTTATATTGCTATCAGATAAACGACAACTCAACGAATAAATTTTGTAAAAGATAAATTGATCGATGAATAATATTAATTTAAAATGCAGCTTAACTTAATAACTCAAAAGAATATTAACTGATATATTTTATTAATAATGAAAATTGCAATATTTTATACAGATATTATTTAAGAATTCATCGAAATGTAATATCATGTTATCTGCGATTAAAATCCAGTATTCAATTGATAAAAAAAGACGTGATAAAATAAACTATTATTTTGTAATACAAAACTGTATAGTAGTTCGATACTTTTTTTTTTTGAGATAAATTGATTATTGAATTTAGGTAATGGCTCTCAACTCTAATGACTTATGAACTATGAAGCTAAGACAAATGTTAAACAACTTATTATAACAGAAAAAAAATGCGAAATAGGATTAATGATGTCAAAACATAAAGTTTATGTAGTATGGAAAAACAATTGTTTGTGCCTTAAAAGTATAAACTATTTGCACAAAAGAGTAAAAGAAAGAATAGAATAAAAAAAAGTCTTAAGTCAAAGTATAGAAAGGAAACTGTATGAGAATGGTAGTATTGATAGATGTGATGACACTAAGGTTGTGTTCAAATATATTGGGATGGTATTGAAAAGGAACCAGACAAACGTTAAACTAAGAAACAGAGGGGGGGAATCGAGGCTTCTCTCAATCCGGCCTCCTACAACGCCTACATTGGGTTCGGGAACAACGTATGTGATCTCCGCAACGGAGTAACACACAAGGGCGATAACCTCTTCCTTTTCAGAAAATAGGTTCAGGCGGGGATTACGGGTCTTCCGAAGTCGTCCCGGTCCCAACGCCTTAATTCTTCGATATGGACTGTATCACTTTAAGGGGAGAATTCCTTGGGAATAAAACAGCAATTATCTTCAAACCGTTCCGTGAGAGATTAATTACTTTTCCCTATCACTTCCCTATAC